CAAGTAATATACTTCGTATTTTCCACGTGTCTTAAATCTAATATATATACATGTGTATATATATATATATATATATATATATATATACGTACGCATTATATGTACAACTTAAACTATTTTTATATCCGCTGTGTTTGTTAAGTTTCCAAGTACCAAAATAATTTAAACTACAAAATAATAAGAAATATAATGTCTCTTTAGATCATAATTAACAGTATACTAATTTCAAAGACTATTCGCAAGTTTATTATGCGGTTAGTTTGTTATAGAAAGATATAAAACTGCTAGCGACTTTATCGAGGTCTCCCATTAAAGCTATCAGGATTCTTCGCGGTAATCGTTACGATTAAAGTTTCTCCTAGTTGTGTCGTTCGCCCAAATGTTAAATAAATTATATTAATAAATACTCTTAGCGCATCCCAAACGCGGGGTGAAGGAACCGTGTAAAGTTATTCGAATGTTAATATTAAGTTGTCACGTTCTTGGCACTTGTTATTAAAGAAAAAAGAAAGAGCCATACTTCTTTTTCAGGATTATATACATAGCATTTTGAAAGAGACGAATACAGGAACTTTTTAGTAGATGCAATAAGAAAAAAAAGAATAAAGAGATTTTTATAAATACATTCGCGATTGATCACCGCTTATTTTTTCCCTCCACTTAACTATTTTACTAAATTGGAAACAATGAGATTACTTTCGCGTCGCTTTTGCACCATAATACGGAAATCTGATTGTGAGATTTCCCGCATTGCAAATCACAACAACAGATCTGTTTGTTCCATTTGCATTTTAAAGCTTAATTTATTACGTATACACATTTTACATATTTATATATCTAATCTTTTTATGTACAGAATTTCCATTTATACATATATTCATTTATATATCTTATTAGGTCTATCCGGAAAGTATCCAATCTTGTGTTTTCAATGTTTTTCACCCAATTTTCAGCCATATTTTCTCGAAATTTTCAACGTTTTTTCCGTAAGGATAATTACACAACTACGATATCGTTTTTTTTTTCTTCCTTCCCGTAGATTTCAGATTAAATTGAATCTCGATCAGTACTATAATGACATAAACTGTGAGAAAATCTGCCGTGCCGCTCGACGGGAGCCAAGCTCATGAAGGTTTCTCTAAATGGTGAATACCCATTTTCTACAATAGCATATCCAGGTAATATGCATACAAAGATATATCCATAAAATGGATATTTTCCGGACACTGGACAGACTTCGTATATTCATTTACTGTACATATATTCATATATTTGCATTATTATTCTCTTTATATGGATACTAGAATTTCAGAGAATCATTTACTTTTATCTGCGCACAGCATTTTTTAAGCAATCTTTCTGCTGCTGCGCGACAAAGTTTTGGAATGGTATACCGCGTATTCCAAATTTGTTGTGCCACATCTCTGCGTGATTTTAAAGACAAACTGTATAGTTATCTGCTAAGTATAAGTTCATAACTCTTTTTGCGTTATATAACTTTGCGCTTGTTGTCTGCTCGTCTATTCTCGCTTTTTTTTATATTTTATTTTGTTTTTGTCCTTATTACTTTTTTTTTTAATTTTATTTTTATATTTTACTTTATGTATTCAATTTCCACTATTGTTATATTATATTACTTGATTTTGTATAATTTCTCGGCACTTAAAAGAACTAGTTTCTAGAGTGCTTAACAAATAACGATATTTATCTAACTATCTACATCTTTGTTTTTTAAGGTAACGGGGGAAATGTAAAAAGTGTAGATAAGAAGTGTTGTGATTATCGACGCCATAATGAAAGTTTCCCTTGAACACTCTTGAAACAAAAAACGACGTGCTTTCGTTATTCACTTCTGACTCAGTTTCTCGTTACAGAGCAACAAGAATAATGCAGGATAACGCAGAACAATCGACTGTGCAAACGCTAATGATGTCAAATATCGCGTCTTTCGAACGATGCGTCATAAAATTGGTACGCTATTTCACACAATTATATTCCTATTATCCGCGAATCGTTTATTATGTATATACTGGCGCAAGTATCATAAAACGTTATATCATTAATACTAAAAAAATAATTTACATAAGAATATACGTTTCTGTTTTTCTGACATTACGTATATTCATAAATTCTTCGCGTTTTCAAATATGGCTATTGCGTTTAAAAAATATTTTAGTTTTAGAATCCATTATCTAAGCAATTTGAATAATTTGAATTATTTAATAGGATATTACGCATTCTTAATTTAATTTTCAAATGATATTTTCTGATTTATTTATTACGGCATTAACTGCGTTTTTAATTATCAAATTTTACATTTTAATCCACTGTGTTGTTAAAGAAAAGTGGAAACATTTTTATCCCAGCACAATATCTCGTTAGTCTATCGCATCTAATATATGTATGTAATTATCTTGTATCTATTTTTATTAAGTAAATTAAGGAATGAATAATGGCATAAAACTGAATAAAACGTTATAGGTAGCGAATTCTTTGAACGCCCACGCCGTGGCAATCGCAATAAGAATTCACGCGACAAAACGCGAAATTCAAGTTATCGATAATGGCATCGGAATACCGCAAGACATGCTCAAACATATCGCGAAATATAACGCAGAAGCCATAGGCGATCAGCAACAGATATGCAAACTGCTTGAATCAAACAATCTGGCAGATATCCGTCGTTTGGCTGATCGTCTTACGATTACTTCAAGGCATCAACATTCTGAAGAGACGTTCATGCAGGTATTACTTGTAGTTTGTCAACTTATTATTAAATTATTTGGCAATATGAATAAAAATAATTAATATAAAAATATAGGCACACTCCTGTTGCTCTTATCGTTAAGTATTGTATACGTCTTTAAATAAAATTGTAAAATCAAGATAAATTAATTTCACAATCAATCAATTTATTATTAGTACTTTTAATTATAAACTTATTATTTAAATTAAATTTAAATTTAATTTAACTAAGATTTTAAAAGATGGCTATATTATTTGCGATTTTCAAGAGTAATTTTTTTTTTTTTTTATTTATTTTCATTAAAGGCGTTTGAGATGGGATTTTCATTCAATTTGAAGCAAGTAGAGCAGAGACCTTCGTATGGCACAACGGTGTCCATCTACGGTTTTCACGAAATGCCTCATAAAAAGTGGGATACATCTATCATTTGTTTTCTTATCGCGGCTATAGCTGTTACAAAATTAGAAGTATGATTTAATTTATAATAGTGATTATTAATTACGATAATTTATCTCTCTCATGATATATTTTTTATATTGATACAGGTATCATTTTCAATTAGAGACGAAGACCGGAAGAAGGTTGTTCTGAGAATTGCGAAACCGCACAATTCGATCGAGGTCCTGAGAACACTGGTTGGGAAGGATCTGCCATTGAATCATGTATGGTCGATACAATGCGGTCCTGAACGTAACAACAATTATCACGGTTACGTGGGATTATCTGATAAAAACGCAATGCAGTGGATATTTTTAAATCACAGACCGATCTATTGCCCTCTCATTCTGAAGTTGATTAAAATTGTCTTCGAAGAGAAGCTAAATTTGTTTTCCAATCAGAAATCTAATGCGTGCGATCCATACGACGAAAATATGTTTATCTTATTCTTTCTTACATTCTCACAGAAGGAATTCACGCACATTACCGAAAACGGAAAAATAATGTTTTATGACATGCAAAAGGTATTGAATACTGTTAAAAACTGCGCCTTTCAATGTCTCGCAGAAGAAGCTACAGTTTCTGGCATAACCCCTTATTTATGTAAAACGCAGCTTTTAAAACAAATATATTTAAAAACAGAACAATTTGTTTTTGCCAATGATATTAATAGATGTAAAAATATTACACCTTCGATGATGAAAAGCAGAATGATTATGCTTGAAAGAAGAAAAATTACGTCAACAATTGCATCAACCAATTATTTCAACAAACAGCATAGAGGTGATAATATTCAAACTGCCAGCTGTTATATAAACAAGGAAAATAATGATGTATTAAATAGCATCCGATATCAAATAGATCTTACTTCTATGAAACGTATAAACTGTGAGAATAAAGCTATGAAAAAGATGCATAATGACGTTTATAAAACGCAAGGAAATTCCATGAATTTTGACATAGCAAATAATTCTACTAAATCTGATACAATTTATTGTGATAACAATAACAATAATCATACTATAAACATTTCTCCTCTTTCCGAATGGTCGAATTGGACTTATTATACAAATAATAAGAAGCGCGAGATTACGAGAAATATGAATATATTTCCCGAAAATGATGTACGTTTTCAACAGTTTTTTGAACGTAACAATAATCAATTTGATTTTCTACCACGAAAACTGTACGATCTTCTACAACATCGTCATGTTAAATTGACAAACGTAAAGTGCTTAAACAGTCCTAATGATACGATTCCGTGTAAGTAATTTTTAACTTTTAGATGGAACAATATTATGTATAAATGATTATTATATATTTATATAACTCAATTTGATAAATATTTTAAATCTATAGTTGTAGAAAATTATCAACATGAGCAAATAGCAGTACATCCTTGTAAGTTGAAGCAAAAATTATGCGAATTTAGACTATCACAAGCATCATTAAAGTGCATAAAAGTACGTACACAAATTTCAAAACAATAAACTATCTCAAAAGGGGCTGTCTGGATAAATATATTTTTTTTGTAGATTATTAATCAAGTTAATAACGAATTTATCGCTGCGTGGATGATGTGGAATGAAATGAAAATTTTATTAATGATCGATCAACATGCCATCCATGAAAGAATACGTTATGAAAATTTACTTCTTAGTAAATAATTATAATACTTTTTTCTGACAGAGATAATATTTTTTTTAATTTGAATAGTTTATTTAAATATATAAATAAAATATATATATATTAAATTAATTTTTTAATCAAATATAAATATGAAATTATACGTAATATCGCACTGAATCTTCTTGTAATGCTCAGTTGTTATTATTATTTAGGATATAAGGTGCAGAATGAGCACGGATTACTCTCGGTTAATTTGCCTGATACTCTGTCTATGGAATTTCCTACAGAAATGTGCAATTTATTCTTACGTAATCAAATTTTGTTGAAGAAATACGGCATAAGTTTAGGATCATTAAAGGAGAACACACTATTAATACGCACAGTACCGCAATGTTTGGTTATAAATAATAATCCCTACAATAGAGAAAAAATATTGCCAAAAATCTGTGGTTTATTAAACGATGTAATAAAGAATTGTAATACAAGTCAAACGAACGCATTACCGTTAACAATTCATAATGCTATAGCATTTGAGGCTTGTCATGGTACTATCATAAGTTTAATATTTATGTATGATTTTGTATATATGTATATATATATATATATAGTAGTTATTATTATATTAAAGATTTACTATGTCAAAGATGATTGTTTTGAAATGTTTCAAATTTATCTATAACTATATTTTAGAAACTTTCTTTTTCTTTTATTAATTTTGGAACTTTTTTAGGTGCTATTAAATTCGGCGATAGGCTAACTTTGGAGGAGTGTACGAATCTTATACAATTATTGAAGAATACAAAGTTCCCCAATCGATGCGCCCACGGACGACCGACTATAATACCAGTGATAGAATTTTCGGAATTAGAAAAAAGGAGCACTAAGATACCTAAGGTAAGCATTAAAATTTTTCCCTTTCGATTTATTGTAGGAAATATAAATTTAAATGATCCATGAGAAAAAGACAGATCTCACTTGTTTTCTTTTTCACTAATACAAGTTTATACATAAATGAATAAAAGCATAAAATTCGCCTTAAAATATCATACTGCATAAATATTTTATGTGTGTGTGTGTGTGTGTGTGTGTGTGTGTGTGTGTGTGTGTGTGTGTGTGTGTGTGTGTGTGTGTGTGTGTGTGTGTGTGTATCAAACTAAAAGCGGTATGAAAACATAAAAATTTTGTTTGTTTTATGACAGATTAATTTTGACATAAGATTGTCTGAACGTTTTTCTTAGAGGTACTACTGAAATTTTTAATCATACAATTTATAAAAAATCTTAAAAAGCTTTAATTCGAATTTCATCATGCGACAAAGCCGGCGATCAGAATATCTTTACCGAAATAATTAAATCTGGTAGAAACGAGATTGACATCTTTTCCGCCCAATGATACCGGACAAACGTCGTTCGGACGTAAGTAGAAGCATACTGTGTAAAGAGCCATTTCTAACTCGGGTGAAAGACCGACGAGAAGGGTCGTGACTGAATGTTTCGTGTCAGGTACATTGAATGCCGAACGTATCTTGATAACTTCTGCCTTCTGTGAAGATAAAGAAATTATGTAATAAACACGTAGAATAAATTGTCAAATACGTGAGCGTTACTTACGTCCGCTAATTTAATATCCTTTATGTATCCGCGATAGTCGAGATTCTTCTGCGCTTCCTGTTTGGCAAAGTAAATCCAATTTTGTGGCCCGATCATGTAGGAATCGAGCTTCTCTGCGAGGAACACTGCCTCAAAACCAGAACTAGACGGCTCTCCTTCAACTCGTTGAAATTGTGAGAACCAAATACGTTTCAGAGTGTCTTTAAACTCGTACTCGTCATTTGGAATAAATCCCTTGTCGGCCAGGTACTTCATTGCCGTTTTAAATACATCAGTCTCCATGAAGTTGTCGAGCAGCTCCGTTTCCTCCTTACGCTCGTCTGGCGTGACAGTCTCTTTCGTTTTAACGTCTATCGCGTAATTATCGTACAACGCCAGCACGCTTTTAATCGTCGGGACTTCATACGCTTCCGGTTTGACGTCGAGTAGGCTGAAATTACATCAAGACAAGGTCAATGAAACTCTTAATGCGCGGAATTATTTTGTTCAATTATTTTCTTCAAGATGAGGATAGCGGTTCTAACTACTTACGGCAAAGGAGCGTCATCCGCGGTACTATCTTCTTTCGTCTCACCCTGCAGATTTACAGTGATGTACTTGTATGCGTTGTTCTTATCCGCCTCGAAAAGACTTTCCGCCAGCTTCTTCACTTCATCGTTAGAGATCGGATACTTCGGCTGAGTCGGATTGCTTTCTTGCTGAGGGCTAGGCGAATTAGCATTGCTAGGTGCGCTAGCTTCAGCCTTTTTATCCGCTTCCGGTGGCGGCTGAACCGGCGTTGCAGAGCTGGGTGGATTGGAGGCGGCAGCGGCGGCGGCAGGAGCACCGTTATTATTCGCAGGCGCAGCCGGTGCTTCTCCATTAGTCGGATTCGATTGATTGTAATAATAATTATTATATGTAATCTCGGTGCGGCTACCACCACCGGCGCCGTCGCTGTTGTGTCCGTATCCCGGGCTTCTGCCAGAGATGCCACCTGGTAACAATCTGTTCACAGCCGCGCTCACGCCCGCGCTCACACTGGAGTAAACCAGCGCTTCCTTGGCCAGCTGACCGATACCAGGTCGGCTCGGTTGCAGGACGGTGAGTGCTGGCGCTTGTGCGATAGCCGGTTGAACGTAGGATGGCTGGGCGTGGGACGGTTGACCGAACGATTGCTGTCCACCGAAACCGCCGTAGGATTGCCCACCGTATGGACTGTAGGCTGGTGGCGCGTTATGGTGCATAGACGGATTGTAAGCCTGGCCATACGGTGAGTGCCCACCGTAACCGGGGTACGAAGGATTGGCATTGTAGGACGGGTAGCCTTGGTTGTAACTCGTGCCGCCATAAGGATTGCTGGCGGGCTGCCGAGGATATCCGCCTAGAAATCATGGAAAGATTAGAATTATAAATTCTATGAAAATTATAATCTTTATGCAATTATACGAAGAGACCCACGCAGCACAGATCCTCAAAGGGACACCCTGAAGACGTCTCTATGTCTTAAGAATGTTCTCAGGATATCCCTTAAATAAAAAGTGCTGCTCGGGAATTGATATTTTATAAGGGAGACTTTAAACCTTAATACAGAGAGTTTAAATCTTAAATCAAGATTTTACAAGGAGAAATATTGCAACTTTAACTTCAAAAAATATTTTATTAAATATAATTTTAGCAATTTTAATAGCTCCCATATTGTAAATGCAAAAAGAAGTAAAGATTTTATTCTCGAGTGTCTTATCGAGATTTAAACTGTCGATACATTAATTTCATTCCCTATTTTAAGATATGAAAGAACAATTAATATTACCCGATGGAGTATATGGTGGTGCGTTCGCAGCCGGATATCCTGATTGCACATTCGTCGCGCTAGTCTTGGAAGCTTGTTCAGATACTGGAGGTTTGACATTGCTGGTCCCGGAACTCCCAGATGCTTTATTGTTAGTGTTCTGTGGTACGTTCCATCCTATTTTACTCGGATTTGAGCCTGCATAACGGGGTTCGTGATGTTATTAGAGACGAATAAAACATGCGAAGCCGTAGAAGGTTATTACCTATATGAAGCAGTGACTCATCGGATTTGTAAGAGATCTGATGCGTAGATACGTAAATATTTGTAAACCACGGCGCAATTCCACGTTAAACAGTTATGAAAAGTATCTTAAACGATGATCTTTTACGATTATAGCTTGCGATATGGAGTTTTCTTTTTTCATTGCTAATATTTATATATATATATATATATA